TCCGTAACAAAGGTGTTCTAAAGTAAGGCCCAAAGAACACTCACCCGTTGAGAGAGAACGATTAGCCGCCTTAGATTAGATGCAGTGGCTGCCTAAAGTCAGCCCAAACCACGATTTCTTCACATTTGTTACCGTTTTGACAAACTTTGCTGCAATACCGCTCCCAAACTAAGGCGGCTAATCACACTCCGTAACAAAGGTGTTCTAAAGTAAGGCCCAAAGAACACCCACCCGTTGAGGGAGAACGATTAGCCGCCTTAGATTAGACGCAGTGGCTGCCTAAAGTTAGGCCAAACGATGATTTCTACACATTTGTTACTGTTTTGAGCGATTCTCACGTTTCGGGGTAGTTTCGTTTCTTCTGACTCCTGTGCCCAAACGAGCGCAGATATCGACATGGGGTTTGTTTCTGATGTTAGGGAGGGCCATTGCCGACTAAACGCACACATTTCGAAAAGTTCTTGCTCGTTGGATTGGTCTACGTAGCGTTTGGAATACCCCAAATGTAACTTCCGTGATTGTCCAAAGAGAACATACTCGAACTTTCCGCCCCCAGTGTGGCGGTGTGGTTCGAAAATGCTGCCAACTGTCGATGGGGATTCGAAGCTTGGCATGTCTCGAGCTAATTTCAACCGAAGACCAATACGCCAGACTTCTTTCAAAGGTACTTATGCTGCAACGAAAAATGTCCTCCGTATATTCAATTTCACTACACAAATTTCGAAAAGGCAGCTCTGGACTTCTCCCCAAGCCAAACTTTTAACTTTCCATGACACAAGCCATCAAAGTGAAGTCCCTGGGATATAATTGCATGGGTCGCGGAAATCTAAGATGCTGTACACGGTCTCAAAGCGGGCTGGAGCATTATAAAATGGCGTGTATCAACAATTACCTGTAACTTCCGTGGCACCCTTTACCCAATGTTGCAGCAGCAGTAGGTGAAAAAAATTTCCGCTTAAATGTCGGCCTTAGAGTATCATTTGACCCTGGAACGACTTTTAAGCCACAGCAAGCCCGAGTCAGCCGTTAAAGCCGATTTTCACACTTTGTAACTTCCGTGATAACGTAATTTCCGTGATCAAAACACCCACTAAAACGTATGGGAATACCTTATGGCTCATGTTTTTAGGAAGATAGTACATGGTCTTTACTATAAATACCATTTCCATAACTCTAGTATCATCCAGGACCCCAATAATCAGAAAAACTTAATTAGATATTTCTCACTTTCGGCAAATCAGAGACGCCAAAACTACCCCGAAACGTGAGAATCGCTCTTTTGACAAACTTTGCTGCAATACCGTTCCCAAACCAGGACTCCTTTTTATTGGTATTTCAAAACTTACTTTTAAACCAGTTATGAAACTGGGAACACCCTGCAATGTGATTAGCATTGGAATTTTTTCATTCTATAGCAGACAAAACCCATTCGACCATGGGTTCTGATCCATTTAATCCTGGATGGGTTAGGACCCATTGAGACCCTCTTTGGGTTCGCTTAAGAAACGCCTGCTAGGTTAGGCAAAAGTGTGATGCAAAGGTAGGCAAACCCGCTACCCACCGACCAATTAGGGGTAACTTGTAAACTACTGCAAGGCCACCTCCATTGTGTTAAGCGCCGAAAGTTACGTTTGTGACGACCATCACGGTTGACAAACCTTCTTTGAAAAAGAAATAATGACTGACAAGCCTTGTCCGAGCTTGAACACTTTGTAATGGTTTAGACCCTTTTGGGGGCAATCCATACAAATGAGTACTTTTTAGACACCCATTACATGGGGTTTCGGGTTTCACCCGT